CCTACCCCCTAAAGCCAGATGCATCTCACTCTTTTTTGGCATGACGTCATGGTAAGTGATGAGTCATCACATGATGATGTCACCACCAGTCACCCACGACTGAAGGGTCACTACAGCTGTATGGCCCCAAGATAGAGGCTGTCTGGTGCCGGCTGGTGCCACAGCACAACATAAGGTGCGAAGGTACAAGGGTGTAACCGACTTGACTCATCATAAAGTCACTTGTGCGGTGTCACTAGACCCCTGGTCACGTGGGTGTGAACTTGTGACGTCAACATGCTTCCAAGGGGGTCGACCCACACACCCTAGCCTGCCCAACTGGCGTAAGCAACCCTGAACCCTGAACCCTGAACCCTGAACCCTGAACCCTGAACCCTTGTAACCCTAAACCCCTGCATCCAAGGGCACCCTGGGCCGTGGCCTACGTGCAGCATGTCGAAGCCACCTGTCAGGCCCTCAACTGCACAGCATCCCCCGTATCCTGCTGGGTGGCAGGGTGGGTGCTGCTAAATGTCACTGCTGCGCTAGTCTGTCGGTGAAGTAGCAGAATGCACAGCTCCTGTGCACACCAACTCTGAACAGCGGCTCATACACTGCTGTGACCCAGCTGCTCCTCAGCTGCTCTGCACCAAGCATTCATGTGAGTTGTTGTTGCTCCCTGTCATTCCCTTGAGGCCGTATAGCAATGCCGTATGTTACAGAAGAACCTGGCGCGACTTGAGTCCAAAAAGGGAAGCAGGTTCAAAGCAAACACGGTTGGTGGCGCGCAGCATGCAGCGAAGGTTTCAGCGTGTACAATCAACGCATGGGCAGCTCGCGGCACACAATCTGTTTGAGGTCCGCGGTCCAAAAGGTAATCTTTGGTTGACACCGCACGGAGGCATGCAAAACGGGGAGCTGCTGTGATCATTGACAACACTATGGCTGACAACAAAAACCAAAAGTGCCATCTTGCTGGGATCACTTGAGCCAAAATTTTGTGCAAACAGCGCGTATTGCGCTTCCAAACAAGGGTGTGTGCCTGTTGCAACAGCTTCCACTGTAAACCTCCCCACAAATCAAGCATGCAGTTGCCGAGAGCCTGTTTGCAAGCACAAATGCAAACGTGCTCCGAGCACGTTGGTGAGGCGTGCACATGGACAACCCCACGTTGCAGGGGTCACTCTTGAGCCGAGCACAGGCCGCATGAGTGCAGCACACGCCTAGCTTGAAGGGGTTGCAAGCTTGGAGCCTTGAACGACTGGCCTGCCCTGGTCCTGCCAGCAGCAATACCGCGCTGCTGAGCCAACAAGGCGCGCAATCACCTCCGCATCGCCACAAGCACTGCGATGCAGCTGCTCAAGCGACCATAGCCTCCCGCGCACCGTCCTTCACGACTTTACCTTCCCAGTCCGCGTGACCGCCGTCGTCTTGGCCGCTGGGTCGCGGTCGAGCTGCAAGGCGCTTGGTGCCGCTGCGCCTGGCGCGGATGCAGCTCTCGCCCGTCAAAAGCGACACGCTGCCGCGGGCCCCCGGGGGTACGGCTACGCCATCGCAAACCTCATCCGCAGAGTCAGCCGGCCCCTCTATGTCGTCGTCGCTGGTGCTGGTGCAGGCGCTGCGGGACTCTGACATCACCTCATCGCTTTCAGCCCCCTCGTGCCGCTGCAGACGGGTGCGCTGCGGCTGGGTCCGAACGCCGCCCCCAGCCGACTGCACCTCGGGGGCACTGTCAGCGGTGAATGTGTCCACGCTCTCTGAGACCTCTTCGTCCTCCTCCCCGTACGTCCCGTCAGGGCCACCGCTTGCCGACCCGCTCGCAGAAGCAACCGGCGCAGGCGCTACACGCCCGCCGCGTCGGCCCAGGAAGAACGGGTGGCCAGATGCGCCAGCTGCGCCGCCGCCACCATTCAGTGGCCCCTCCACAAGCATGGCGTCGTACTGCGCGCCTGTGGCCAGCACGGCGCACGCGGCGCGCTCCACATCGTGCAGCTCTGGCAGCCGCGCCTGCCAGCTGGCACCTTCACGCGCCGCTTCCAGAAATGCCGTCATCAGCGCGGGGTCAGTGGGCGGGCGATAGGGTTCCTGCAGATTGAGGTGCAAAAGGGTGGTGTGGGGTTTGACTGGAACGGGCTTGGGTGGCCCACGCAAAACCGCAGCTTGAGGGCCTGCGGCTGCTTGGCTTGCCCAATCATGCGTGTAACGACTTGTAAAAACATCAAGGGCGTGCGGTCAAAACGGTACGAGGTTGGCCAAAAGCAGGTCACCAGTGAGAGCATAATCAGCCGCACCTTGCGTGGCATCGCGCCGCCGCCTGTGACCTCGCTGCCGCCGCTGCTGCCGCTCGGCCCTTGTGCCTCGCACACCCGCGTGCCGGTTTCAGGGTGGGCGAGGTTGAATCCAGTGCCTGTGCCGGAGCCCGAACCTGTGCCTCCAGCGCCCTTGCTGCCGCCCTGTTGCTGCTCTTGCTGCTGCGCGTAGCAGCGCTCCACCACCGATGACGCAAACTCAACACCCTCGCGGGAGGCATCCGTGCTGATGATGGGCCATGGGTAGTTGAAGCCCAGCTCCACGCCTGGCCAAGCAGGGCCAGATAACAGGTGTGGGGGCCAGGTGACAGCCAAGCAGACGCGCTGCCCCAGGTGCCAGTTTGCGGCAGGCGGTACTGGCGCGTTACTGCTACACAACCAGGCAGTTTGCCCATATGTCGAGGCCCCAGGCTGTAAGCAAACCACTGTTGCGAACACAGATATGTGAACGGCGGTACAGCAGCTGCGTTGCTCGCCCCCATGGTGAGGTAGTCCCCCAGCTTCCCCGCCTTACCAGCCTCCTCGAGGACCTCTGGCGGCGCCTTCCAGGGCTGGTGGATATACTCCGCTGGTAGCTGGCTCAGCACCGGCAGCCAGCGGCGCACGTAGTGGCCGTCAGGGTCAAAACGCCTGTGAAGAGGGGTGGAGGAGGGGGGTGTGACAGGTGAGCACATGATTAGAGGGGTATTGTGGGGAGAGGGTCGCTGGGTGGGTGGACGGCAGGTGCAGGGGCGGCTGGCTGTTTTTTGCCCAGGGCTTGCCTGCAGGGGCAACAAGGTAGCAGGGGGCAGCCCAGCACATCACACCTGCACGATGCTGCCACACCTGTGCTGCAACACGGCCATGCCGCAAAAGAAGTGCAAAAAAATGAGGCGTTGTCACTTCGGCAATTTGAAAACCCTCACCTCCACTCCTGGTCCAGATCAATCATGTAACTGAAGGGGTGCGCATCAGCTAGGCAGCCGGCAACGTACTGCCTGCACAGTCGCCCGAGGTGGATGGCAGTAGGGGGGAGGCAAGCACACAAGAACGGCGCGTGAAGCAAGGGAGAAACCAGAAGGCCGTAACTTCAGCATCACCGTGCATCAACTGCAAGACCAGTGCGCAACCACACATGCACTACATCCCGTATACCCCTCCTCGAGGCAAAGGGGGGGCGCACCACCCGAGGGCGTCGCACTCCAGGTCCGCGTCAATCTGGCAGTCCCACAGGTGCTTGAGCCCCCACTGCCAGGGCAGCAGCAGGTTTTTGACCATGAAGGATGCCGCCACCACGCGCACGCGGTTGTGGCACCACCCCATGCTCCACAGCTGGCGCATGCCCGCGTCCACGAGAGGGTAGCCTGCTCGCCAGGCAGGGCGAGGACGCAATAATGAGGCAGCAGGTGGGTTGCTAAAAACTGTCACAGGCGCACTCTGTTGAACAGCTCAGGAAACTCCAGGGACTGCAGCTGGGGGGGCGGCCTGCCCTGGCGGTACTCATTCAAAATGCGATGCATGCGGCCTCTACACATGGGTGGTGCCTCACCGGTCAGTCCCTGGCGCCAGGCCTTGAAAGCGTGCTGGTCCAGCCGCCAGGGCACGGCCCTGAGGTGAGCCAGCATGGAGCGGTCTGTCATGAAGGGGAAGTGGAACGACAAGTACCTGGAGAGGGCAGGGGGGGTGACGTGGGAGGGGGGAAGGGATGCAGTTCACTGCGCCGAGGCACCACAGCAAAGGACTGCGCCGATAACGGCGCCCCCCTGAGTATGAGCCAGGTGCCGCACACCACCACCACGGCCATGCGCGTTGCCGCTTCTTAAAGACCCCCACCGGCTGTACTCGCGGTAGCCGAGCTGCTGCACAAAGTCCAAGCAGCTCGGGCCGCGATCGGTGTCGCCGGCTTGCCACTCGGTGTGCTTCTGCGCGAGTAGGGTTGTCACAGACACAGTGCTGGTTGTGTCCCTGCGCCTTCTGGCAAATGACTTTGACCGCGAGGAGCACCCCAATGCCCCGCCTATCCCCAAACAACAGGGCGTTGATGATCCAAAGGTCAAGAGCAAAACAATACCCAGGCGCAAGCGTGACCTGCAGAAACCATCGCACCTGCGCCACACGGTAGTAAATGTGCCTGACGCTGATGCTGCCGGCGTGGATCCAAGGCGACAGCATGGTTGTGGACTCGCGGTCTGTCTTGGCGCGGTCATGTTCAAACATAGGCAGGCCCTGCGAACCGAGTTTAGGATGCGCACGGACATGTCGAAAAACTGTGTTGTACAAGCCCTCCACACAAGAGAGGTTGACAATGTGCTTGATGACCAGCCAGCCCTTGGCGCTGGCTTGGGCGCCGTACGTGCCCCTCCAAAACCCTCCGGCCCCCGCCACCACCCCAAGATCTGCTGGTTGTGAGGCGCCGCCGGAACCCACCGATTGCAGAAAGGCCTCCAGCCGACGGACAGCCTCAGCCCCTGAGGGGTCCCAGCGGTGCGACAGCGCCTCCACCGACGCCTCCTGCTCACGCGTCATGAACCAGTCCACCTGATGGGAGAGAGTTGAAGGCCGTAGGTGGGTTGGGTCCATGCAACGCGCAGCCGCAGGGCGGCTGCATCCTCCTGCCGTCGCCAGGAGCGGGATCTTCAAACAATGCACTTATACCTTGTTGTTGAAAAAGCGCTGATAATGCCGCCCGATGAAAGCTCGCCCATGCTCCGAGCAGACAAGTTCAGCAGCGCCCGGGGAAGGGGGGGGGGGCCACCTCATCAATTGCCAGTGATTGAACGTCTGTGGGTACCGCGGGCAACAGGGCTGGCGGCTCGGGCAGCGGCAGCGGAGGGGGGTAGGGCATCGCCAGGCACTTGTCCCAGTACGACTTGAACGTTGTGAAGGGCTGCAGGTTGAAAGAGAAGAGCAGTTTAGGGGGGGTTCCCGCTGCACCAGAGTCTCAAGGCTGTGGGGCAAGGGGGTGAGTCATGTTTCCCTGCCCAAAGGTGAAGTGCCTGCTGTTCTAAAGCCGCAAAATGTACGCACAGACCTCTACACCACAGAGCGATGCCTCCATACAACCCTACCCCACCCGACAGCCCCCATGCCCAGTTCTGGCACGCCGCACCTGTCCATCGTCGTCCAGCACCTGCCAGGGCTCGTAAAGCAGGTCTGCGTTGAAGCTGTGCGCCGCAACGTTCATACTGCGCAGCTCGTCCTTGATCTGCTGATCGCGCACCATGCTGATGCTGTCGTACAAGTGGTTAAAAAAGACCGCCTGGGCACCGGTCTGTAGCACCAGGGCGCGAAGCGCAGATGCACTGTCAGGCGCTCGCCGCAGCACCAGCCGTGAGCCAAGCTGCTCTAGGCGTTCGCCTAGGTGGCGCACAGTCTCCCTGAACCACCACCTGCAGGAAACGCAGGCGCGAAGTGGCAAAGGGGCAGTGCAGGTTGGGGTGATGCAAGCATGGCGCGGAGACGCGCCACACGTGCGCTTCCAACCTGGGCTCTTGTGCAGGTCACAGGCGACCACCAGCCATCACGGCGACGAGAAAAGAATACAAAGATGTTCGCTCATCCGCGCAAGGCAACGGCCCGCGGTGAGTGCTCAAAGGGGCAGTCCGGGCGCGCCGTATCAGGGCATCCGTGCCCCACCACCTGGTGCGTGGGTTGTACCCCAAGCACAAAACACGCTCACCGTGTCTGCCTGCCAGGTTGGAACTGGCCCTCCTCCTCGACGGCCCAGATGAACACGGGTATCACGGACCTCGCCGCGCCCAGGGCCGCCAACAGCGCGGGGGCATCATACGCCCTGCAGTCTCGCCTAAACCAGACGATGGCAGTGTCGAACTGCGGCTCCATCGCGCAGATCGCTCTGGCTCGCTCTGGCTCAAGTCTAAAGCCTCATAGCCCGTTGAGTTGAACAGCAGGTGTAGTAGGTTGCATATATCAGCATTATCAACAGCGCGTACCGTATTGGGGTCTTTGAGGCATCCCAGGCGAAAAGGCACTCCGAAAGGCGTCGGGCAGGTTTCTCAGTTTCCGCGGTCATTCGGAAGTATGATCGAAAGCCAACAAATATAGTTTTACGAGTTTCCAGGAACAAGGATGACCGTTGGCTCATTGGGACGACGGTGGGCCGCCAGCGTCACGGGCACGGCAATCTTTGCGCTCTGCCCACTTTGCCCCAGTGTTCCGTTGTGGTCAAGCCACCCCTACAAAACTGCAAATGGTGTCTCAATCTCAAGAAACTGATCTTGTGCATACGCCAAGCGCATTGTGCCGAAGAATCGGCAGATATGCATGCAGCCGTGCTGTTGATGGCTCCGGCAGTCGCCGGCCTACCGGCCAGGGGATCGCACCCACTCACCGAGCGTTCCACCTGGCGTGTGAATAAGTTGAATACAGGACATGCATCCCATGACATGCATTAATCAAGTGGAAGCGCAGCAGCATTTTACCTGCAGCTTGCACAGCTGCCCTGTACCCGCGCCACAGAGACGGCCACGCACATCAACCCAACTCCCTGAAGTGCTGCAGCAAAGCCGTACTGAGTGGCAGCAGTCTGCTTGATCTTGTGTCTGCCGGCGCACACACGCATACGCACGCACGCAACATTCCGGTTTATGAAAGCCAAAGTTTTTGGACTGCGCCATGCGCAGCCTTCATGACCCGTTAGTAATCAGCAGCACCACTAATCAATCTTGCGGTTACCAAACTGAATTCTGACAGCACCCCAGCGGTGTGGCCAGTCAATTCGAGCGCCGCCCGTCTCACGACGGCTTGGTTCGGCAACAGCCGGGCGGTGCTGGCGGCGCGCTGCAGGCAGCGGCGGCAGACCCAATGTGGCCGGCAGGGACGATGGCCGGCAAGGGGGTAGTAGCGGTTGGCCGCGCTGAGCGATGATGTCATAAATGGGCAGCCTGATGAGAAGCGCTTGATGCTTGAGATCCATCAGGCAGAAGGTACTGTGGCGGTTGCTGAACCTGTCCACTGGGCTTGAATATCACCGCTTGCAGGCAGGACGGACAAGCGTGTGTCGCGGCACGGCCTGCCCAACATACCCTCAGACAGCCTGCCTGAATCTAGCGGCTTGCCGGCTGCAGCTGGCGCCCGCTCACCTGCCGCCCACCACTTTCCCGCTGGCGTCGGACAATTCTCTCTGTAATGTGCGCCTTCGTTCTTCACATGTGGATCCTGCTCAACAACTGCCGCACCGATCAGCTCCCAGGGCAGCTGCAGCTGGCGAGATAACCAGGTGCCCACCCCCTCCAGTTGAGCGCCCGTCTTGTTCCTCCGGCCTCGTTCAAACCACGCGCCCTACCTCTGTGCCCCCCCCCAGGTTCTGTCCCTACGCACGCTGTGTCAAACACAAGGTGCGGTTGGGCAGTCAGGTTCGCCGCCTCACCCACCCAGGCCTCTGAAAACAGCCCTGCCTGTTGTGCACGCAAATGCTTGAGCGGGACGGGGCCTTGTCTTTAGAAGGTGTGAAGCACTGTTCTTCGCGTGCCTGTGGCGCCGGAGCTTGCCCCCAGCTTCCCTTCATGGCTGGGGGTAGGCAAGCCCTGTTGGTGCCACCAGTGTGCAAACGCTGCGTGGCGGAGATCATCCAAAGGCTGCGACCGTTCTGCAGCGGCTTGTTCCTGGCTGTCACGCCGGGGCTTCTGCACACGTGCCTGTGCAATATTTGTCCTATGCACAATCATCTCTGCCGCTTCCTGGGGTTGCACCCAGAGCCTGTCAGGTAAGAACTTCCGCCAGAGTGGGAGTGTGGGACGGCACGGGGTGGGGCAGCGGGGGTGCGAGGGGCCAGCAGCCATGGTGTAGGGGCAGGAAGTCATCAAACAAAAACCGATGAATTGGGTGAGTGTTCAAAACGCACCAGTCCAATGTCACGCACGACGTTTGGGTGCATGTGTAGAATCTCGCTGTCAGGGGCAGCGGACGCACCCGCAGGCACCCCACCCTTGACCGCGCACTGACACGTCCAGCAAGAGGGGCCGGGCGTCCTGCCAATTATGATGGCGTACCTCAGTAATGATGAAGGGTGACGATGCTTCTGCACCAACCAAGTGTTGCTGCCTCAATAGGATGCTCGACTTCAACAGCTTCCCCACACGTCCTCCTCCGCATAGTAATGAACGGCGTTTGCGACACGCACGTCGCAGGATGCTGAGCACCGTGCAAAAGAATTTTCGGTTTATGCTCGCATAGGCCGTGTGGGGACCCCTTGCGGTGAGATCATCCGTACCAGGCACGGGCGGACGCACGACTTGCGCGGCGTGGAGGTGTGTCAATCAACTCTCAGGATCAGTCTAGCAGTGCTGGGGCTTGGACCCAGCACGCACCGGTCGCGACTGCCGAACAGGCTGGTGCACGATGCAAGATGGGCTCAGAAACTTTTTCCCCCAGGCCCAGGGTGCCTTTGCAGCTGGGCTGGGGCAGCAGCTCGGTGGCCGAGGACCCTACATCGGCGCGCCCGCGATGACCTCTGCTGCGCCTGCACAGCAGCAGCAGCACTTCGGTTTGCAGCAAGGGGCAGGCTTGCAGCAACTGCGGTTTGTCGGCGTTCCCGGCGCCGGCCAGATGGCAGGCCACCCACTTGATGGCCTCAACGCGGCCCAGCTGAACCCACAGCTGACGCAGAGCCGGCTGCTGGCTGGCATGCGTGCCAATGCTGTCGGCAATCCAGCTGCGGCTGCGGCAGCAGCAGCAGCAGCTGGCCAAAATCCGCAGCTGCTACAGCAGCTGCAGCAACAGCAGCAGCAGCAGCAGCAACGACAGCAGCAACAGCAGCAGCAACAACAGCAACAGCAGCAGCAGCAGCAGCAGCAGCAGCAGCAGCAGCAGCAGTTTGCAGCAGCACAGCAGTTTGGAGCTGTCAACCTTGGAGGCAACACACTTGGCGGCCTGGCTATGGCAGGCCAGCACCCGCTTGGCGGTCGTGTTGGGCAGCCATCAGACATCCTCAACCTCCTGCAGCAGGGTAACTTGAAGCAGGGCGGCCTCGGAGCCGTCAACCTCAATGCCGCTCAGGCTGCACAGGGCCAGGCAGCTGCTGCTGCTGCGATGCTAGCCAACCGTGGACTTGGCGGCGTTGGCGGCGGCTTTGGGGCCGGCGCCGCTGGCGCGCCCGGCGGCGCCGCAGGACTGGTCGGCCAGCTGCAGCAGGCCGCCGCAGCAGCTGCGAATGCGGGCATTGCAGGAGCAGGCGGGGGTGGCGGCGAGGGGGATGCAGGGCCTTCATTCGCGGCTGATGAGTTTCCCGCTCTTGGCGCCGCAGCAGGGGCACGCCCCTCGGCAGGCGCTCCAGGCGCCAAAGTGGGCGACTCTTATGCATCCCTGGCGCTGCGGCGGCAGGCGGCAGGCCCGGGCGCAGTAGGAGTGGTGGGAGGCGGCGCCGGGGGTGCAGCAGCCATTGGCGGTGGCACGCAAGCGATTGACTTTTCTATACAGAATGAGAGCGACTTCCCGGCCCTTGGTGGCGGCGGAGGCGTGGGTGGCGTGGGCGGCGTGGGCGTCGGTGCGGGTGCGGGGGGCATTGCAGCAGATGCTGCAAAGCGCTTTGCTGGTGCCATGGGCGTTGGTGTCCCTGATGGCGGTGCTCCTGCAGTCTCCTTAGCAGCAGCTGGCGGCGCCCCCAAAGATGGCAAGGAGGGCGGGCCTGGCGGCGGCGCCCTGGGCGGCGGGAGCGGCGCCGCGTCGGGAGGCGTGGCAGGGGGTGCAGCTGCGGCAAGCGACCGCTATGGGCTGCTGGGTCTGCTGCAGGTGATCCGCATGACGGATCAGGACCTGACGATGCTGGCCCTGGGCACCGACCTCACCAGCCTCGGGCTCAACCTCAACAGCCCTGAACAGCTGTACAAGTCGATGGTGTCACCCCTCAGCGACGCGCCCCTGCGGCGGGAGCCTGGATTCGAGGTGCGAGGCGGAGGGGGCGGCGTCATGTGGCTTGGTCAAGCCATGTGTTCCAGTGCTGCATGCATGCTGTAAGTGGCGTTCCGCTCATTGCACAGTTGTCTCTATTGCCTGGGGAATGGCGGCGATTGTGCACTAGGATGCTTGCCAAGAGTCACATTCTCAGGGGTCGGCGAATCGCCGGAGCCCCTCTTGCGGTGCACAAAGTGTACCCCCCTGGTGGCACCCCATGATCGTACAGGTTCCTGCTTGCTACAAGCACACGCCGCCGCGCCTGCAGCCGGGCTACCTGGCCAAGTTCAAGGAGGAGACACTGTTCTACATATTTTACTCGATGCCCCAAGATGAGGCCCAGCTCATTGCAGCGGATGAGCTCTACAGTCGGGGATGGTAGGCTGAGAAGCACAGTGCGGGGCAACAACGGCAGGGTGCTGCCCAAAGCAGGCCCTGGTGCATGGGGTGGGTCGTCCTTGGGCCCGCTCCTTTGCCACACGCACGCTTTCAATCACCACCTCCTTGTGCCTGCTGTGCAGCTCAAGCAGTGACACCTTGCACTTTACTTTGGGGAGAATGCACTTAATGCTCCAGCCCTTACTGACCTGGCCGTGCATGTGCGCGCCCTTCCATGCGCGGCTTCCTAGGTGGTGGCACAAAAAGTACCGCTGTTGGTTCATCCATGCGCCCAACTCGCCTGTGACCAAGGGCCCCAGCGGCAATAGCGAGCGCGGCACGTACCTCTTCTTCGACATCACCATTTGGGACGTCGTGCAGAAGGCTGACGTGGAGGTGGGTAGAGGCGGGACGGGCGCCAGGCAGACATCTGCCCTGCATGAGCCTGGCAAGGCGCGGTGGTCTTCGGGCATGCCTGCGTCATCGGGTATGCTGGCGTCAAGTGTGCTGCTGCAGTCTGGCTGGCCCTATCGGCTGCTGGTTTTTTTACTGTCAAGCTCCTCCAGTATCTTCTTGATTCGCACGTGCGGGTGCTAGTGGTTCTTTACTAGTCCCATGCCACATGGGTGGCCTTGTCCGGAAGCCAACCGTACCCGGCGACACCCGACCCCCCCCCCCCC